GTGCAGTTAAAAATTAGGGTGCACTTGTACTTGGAAATGTTATGATGGTAAATTGGTCTGCTGCCACACTGCCCCCTATCGGTATTTTCTCTTTTCCTCGTCTTAACCATGTGTTTGGGCATTTAATGGTGGCTCTGTTGAACAGTGTGCCACATGGTGGCAAAAAGTGGATGGTGCTCTTGCCTTACAGCAGGAAGATCACCAGTTTGAATCCCCCCTTTTCTTCCTAAGTGGTAACTGACGGTGTTTTTGTGTGGAGTTTGCTTGTTCTCCCTGTGTGTGTCTCGGTTCTCCCCGGGTTCTCCAGTTCCCGCCCACAGTCCAAAAACATGCAGGATTTTTATTTTTTGTCTTTGTTTAATCATCACACGTGCAGTAAATTGGCCTCTTTTCCTCCTCTTAAAGTATCATTTAAAAACAAAATAAAACGTTACGTCTTACTTCAGAAATCACGTTCCTGCATCACAGAGTTGAAGTATTTCACGGTTCAATTTTCCTACATCCTTGAACAATAAACTTGTACAAATATACAATTATCTTCTAAAATACTATTCTCATGGTTACAACCAAAGGGCCTAGCATCACCACTGAGACATGTATGAACAGAGGTTGACGGTGTGGGACAGACAGGACGGCTCCTCCAATGTCTGACGTGACAGAGTTGTGGTATTTTTATGGATGTGAACGTCAGTGTGATACCAGACACACTTTTATGGGTAACGTTAAAAATAGCGTCACGTTCGGTGACTCTGTCCTCCAGGGGTCACCGCAGGAAATAATCCACCTTTTATTCAGCGTGGGTTTTTATCACACGGACATTTACGTGGTCTTTGGAGACGCACCAGAAGACAATGGACACGTGTTCTGTGGTGACGTCAGACATCGGGTCTGGACTGTTACTGCTGAGGGGACGACATGCTTTTGTAGGAGTGAATTTTTATCAGAACAACAACATGTTAATATTATCATCATTGTGATGCGTTGGTGAGTTTTCAAGTTTTATAATTATTATTTTATTCATTTATTTTGATTTTTAAAAAATCCTCCTCTGGTCAAAATACATTTTTTTGTGCTGAAATAAAATGTTAAAATTATTATTATTATTGTTATTATTATTATTACATTTAATGTAAAAATGTTAAAATTATAAAAAAATTGCATGTAAATAAAAAACAATTATTTATTATAAAAAATTGCATGTAAATAAAAAACAATGCACTACACAGGAACAGATTACATGTTGTCCACTGTCCTCCAGATCCGTCTCCATTTGCTTTACATACAATAAAAAGTGACAGAAATTCTTCCAAAAATAATTATATAAAATAAAATTATATATTTTTAAGGTGTATTTAATTTGTGTTTGGTTTTGTTGTAAATTTCCCTATCTCTTTGCTCTGTGTGTGTCTGCTTCGTTTCCAGTCCAGTTCCCCAGTGTGATCCAGGCCCGGGTCTTACAACCATCCTTGGATGCACCTAGGTCCAGTTTTCCCAACAGTGACAATCAAAACAACGTTTTTTGCTGAGTTTACTTCAGTTATTTGTCTCTCTGTGTGTTCACTCCTGTTGTGGAAAACATCTCCCCATCTTCCTGCTCCTCCTTTTGGGCCAACAGTTTGTAAGTACCTGGTTTTTGGTACCTTTTTTTATCTCCAGCCAACATGCAGTTCTACCGGGCGTTAGCTTGAAGATACATGCTAACCCCTCATTATAAAAGGGCAAGGAGTGGCTAAAAATGGCACAAAATATCAATGAGCTTTTCAATATTTCATAGCTTTAAGATCAGATTGTAGTTGTAAATAAATGTGTTGTTTTTTTCTTTCCTTCAGACCACGTTTAATTATGGTTGTGTTGTCATGTTGTTTTAGCCGTTCCAATTGAATATTCTGTCAAATATTAAGTATGTAAACACTAAGAGACAAATATCATTATTTGGGTTGGTTTCACTGTTTACAAAATAATAATAATATATTTATATATATAAATATATATTTATATATAAATACAGTATATATATATTTTATTGAAAACAACAGGGTTAGTAACAGTCACAGCACTATGACAATAACCTGTTACCAGATGGAAAAAAAAACCCAACTCCTTTTTGCTTGTTATCCTGCCCAATTCTGCTGCTGATTGGCTTATGATTCTGACAATGCCCCGCCCACCATCTTCCTCCCCCTCAACCACCACCTCCACCAACACTTATGACTAAGTGTGTGGTCAGATAAAAACAGTGTCACTTTGCTTAATTGTTATTTGTGGTTTCATAGTGTATAGCAGTTGTCACGTCTGCCTTACACACAGAAGGTCAGGGGTTCGAGCTCCAGTGGCACTAGATACTTACTGGCGGCTCTTGTGGTAGACTGTGTGAGTTGCAAAGACTGTGTATTTGCCCATTGTATGGGACAAATAATGGTGAATATACAACCCAGCAGTAAAGGCATTGTAAGGATGGGAACGGTACTAATTAAAATGGACGGTTATTGCAAAAAGTACTGCAGCTACTAATGCTCCTTATAGATTTTGTAATACTTTTACTGGTTAGTTTTATGTTAGGTGTTGTATGAAACTATAATATTGTATAACTGCGCATAACCAGGTCATTTACCAAGTGTCAATAGCACCCTCTGTAGGGCTGGAGGAGTGACGTGTTTTATGTTTTCAGACACTCTTCCTAAATTACTGCCACATCAACACTGCAGTTACTCAGAGTGTCTTATATCGCAGTAAAAAACCCCTCCAGCACACAGTGCTTTCTCTTCAGTGTTATTTCACGTGTTTCTAAAGTAAACTCCTGGCCTGGTGTGCCAACAGTATTTCAATATCTCAGATATAAATTGGTGGTTTACAGCCGTCTTTCACTGCGAGGTGTTAGCCGCGCGCTGACGTGGGTTAAGACACCCCACCCGTAAAAATGTGTTCATCATCAGTGCAGCATTTTATCCATCATTGTAGCAACAGGAGTGGTTTGTTGATGCTGTGTTTCCTTCAGAGGTATGTTTGTTCCATCAAAGGCTGATATATGGGATTGGCCGGGATGCTCTTCTCTCAAATGAGCTCTGAATCACAGGCATGAGAGATGACTTCCTCCTGAGACTAGCAAAATATTATTACATGGTACAAAGCTCTAATTTGATGGGAGGCCAAGATGTTTCCAGCCACCCCATCATTTTATTCCCATCCACTGAAATAACCCGTATCAGGTCTTTTATTTATGGGCTTTTATTCAAACTACAGTCGTTTCGCCTTGAGAAGTTTGGAAAATAAAGAACAGGTCTGACGTAACAGTGGAGAGAGAGTGAAACGCAGGTTGTCCAACGTGCCCAGAGTGCTCGTGTTTTAATGTGCTGTCGGGGAAATTGAAATATTCCCCAGAAGAATGTGTAGAATATATAAATGAATTACTTATTCTCACTTTATTTCTCCCCTCGCTTCAGACTCACCTTCAGTAAATATACCTTTGCTGTGTAAATCCTGGGGTTTTTATAGAGCGAGCTGCTCGGCAGCTGCACATGCACCGGGCCATGTTTCGCCGACGCTGAAAGTCGAGCCGCTCACACAGGAGCTGTCGCCACATTTCCAAAAAGCCACATTATTGAGTGCTTTTTTAACATGGTCGCAGTTTCCAAGCGTTTTGGCCCAGATTTCAAAACCTGGCTCTTGCCAACAGTTGGGAGTGGAGGAAGGAGCAGGAGGAGGAGGAGGAGGAGGAGAAGAAGAAAGGGGTTGGGGGGGGGGAGACATCTCAAGTTAAATTTAAAGATGTGTTTCTCTTGGACGGCTGACTGCGCTGCCATAAACCAAGGGAGACATTTTCATGCTCCACATTTTTCATGGTTTCTCTTCGAGTTTCCTCCCTTCCTTTCTCACTCCACCTTGGCTCCAGAGTTACCTACTGCTGCACTGGCTGCAGACCACAGCCTGCAGGGCACCGTAGGGTGGCCGGGGGTCTCCTCCCTCTCTGACTCAACAGAAGCCTGTCCTCATGCGGTCCAATCGAACGCCGCCGGTTGTCCTCGCTTGGCTCCCAGTGGTTGAGGAAACCCTTTGGGTGATGGTTCTCAAACTGTGGTGCGCGTACCGCTGGTGGCTCCAACTAGCGGCATTCGTTGGAATCTGATTTTTGTTGTTGTGTGTGTTCACAGTTGATTGGAAGTGACTGTCATACAGTGTGGCTTTGGTTGATGTACTGCGGTTTTACTGCGCTTCGCTGAACAGTAGGTAGTATTTTATTGTTGGTAAAACTAGTGTTGCTTAGTGATACTACCATGTAAATTGTGTTACAACCACCAAGTGGGCAGTGCCAGTAATAATGCAGCTTTCAATAATGTGTGGAGCGTCCTTTGCATAAATTGAATGTCAGATTTATATTTGGACCATGGACCACGGTTGGCTGCACTAAAGCTCTGGCTTGCAGGCTAAATATGGAACAGAGCTCTTCTGTTTTTGCACACGAACCGCAAACAGTGGTGTGGAAAAAAAAAATTACCACCTTATTAGGAATCCAAACTAATAGTTTTACACCTGCACTCTTGGTCTAAATATTAATGAAACCTGAGGTTGGCGTTGGCGTGTCTCCCACTCATTTTTTTTTTAATGTAAAATCTGTTTTTGAAAATGGTTTTCCAGTGATCAGCCTTTAGTAGCTGTTTTACCATCCATCCATTTTCATCCACTTATCCGTTACCGGGTCGCGGGGGCAGCAGTCGCCACCCAAATCACATTGCACCGTACCAACCCCCCCTGAACCTTCCTGCGGGTGGTGAGTCCACTGGAAGGTACCAACTGCCCTAACCGGGATTCGAACTTGCCCAGGAGGTGAATCCTGGGGTTCCACACTACTGACACATGTCAATGTTTTGACCCAGTGTTATTATACGCTCCTTACCATTTAGTTGATATATAGTCACATGTTTTGGCTTCATTGACCTGGTCTTTAAAAAAAAACATGTCAATGTTTTGACCAAATTTACACAAGGATTTAAATTGAAAACGTCAAACGTTTACTTTTAACTACCTTAAATTGTCAGTCTTATTGGAGACTTTTATTCAAAGCTAGACTAATTACTGGATTTTAGTGAATCTTTTCTAGCCTCCATGTTCCATTATGTTTCCTATTTTTTTTTCTTCAATTACTTCAACCAAAAAAAAAGAGGGTGTGACCCATTAAAAATGACTGGGGTGGGGGGGTGTTATTATACGCTCCACCTCAAGAAATCCTTTCAGCACCCTTATCAAATCATTCACCGCCTTTCCACTCTAGTAGTCATGTGTTATAGGCTGAGAGTCCTCTGACCTACCGCTCAGTTTTCTAATGTGGCCCTGAAGGAACCGTTTTATTGCAGACTGCAGACGCTCGTCCTGAGCCAGCACTGTGTGGTACAGGCTGTAATTTGTGAAGGGCTGCAGAGGTTTGGTATTAATTTGGGGCTGTGAAATGGCAGCGGTCCGACCGCCGGCCCGTTTCCATAGAGGCCGAATTCACTGAGTGATGTCCACACTGGGAGAGGGATTATGGCCGCGCACGGCCCGCCCGCTGAGACGCAAACACAAAAAGAGAGGATGTAAAAGAGCACTTTCATTTCACAGAACCTGTCATCAGCAGCAAATTTTCACTCTGCTCTCTGGAAATCGGGGCGAACTGCCTTTGCGGCTTCCAGGAGATTCCGTACGTTAGGTCCAGGCATCAGACGCAGTTGACGTTGTGTGTGCAAATGAGAGAGTTGCTCGCACGTTCAACCTCAGGGCTGCCTTTCAGGAACGTCAGATTGTTATTTCTTTGGGGTAATGAGAGTATCGTATTATGAGGTTGAATGTTTATGGGATGTGTATGGATTTCAAAGTCGGGTCACTTCACTCGGGTTCGTCCTCAAAATACATAGTAAAACAGTTAAAAGCAACACTATGAAACTCGTGCTGAGCAACAGCGGCCTCCGCTGCCAAAACCAGTGCTTTATTGTGTTGGGTTGAGAGTCTGTGTGGTTACGTGGGTTTTCATGTATAGAAAACAAAGATTATCGTTCACTTAAATGGAGCTTCAACTGCTTGGTCTTAGTCGCTGAGCTGAAACCTCATGATCCTTCACTTCCCTAATTCAGAAAAGCTGCAGCTGCAGGGAGTCTGCCAATAATTCTTGATATTTTAAGATGGGATTCACGTCTGGAAGGTGAATCTATCATTTTTACTGCACAAATTTTATCTATGATTGACACTCATATCAGGATAGACTTATATCATCCAGATCAGCGATGTCAACGATAACTCAGAGCGGACAGATGTTACACACTGGAATATGTAAATCTACACCCGTTTGTCTTTAAACAGTATAGTCATTCTTTTGGATGCTGCCCTCTGTCTGCATGTTTTTATCTCTCTTTTTGTAAGTTGTCCAATGTCCAAGTCTCACGGCCAACTGTTTAGCCATTTCTGACTCAACTTTACATTGGTTTTTACTGATTTTATTATTCCCTGTCTTTACCTTACCTACGCAATATTTATATTTGTTCAGTGTTTCCTACTGCAACAGTTTAGATTTTTGTGATGAAATTTTACCTAAATGTTAGTTAATTTTAGCCTAATTTTTTACTTTTAGATATTTGTTATATTTCAAACATT